AAAGAGACAAAGAAAATTCTCTTTGACCAGGGTAAAAAAATATTACAAGTGGTAAAACAAACAGAAAAACAAAAATGTACCGACAACGTTTCGCTTTCGCTCTCTCACTGTGCACGCGTTTACGCGTCTTTTACGTAAGATATCATTATTTCTAACGCAAATGCGTTCAACTATTTCAAGAGGTCCCATGAAGAAAACGAAAGTGCTACCACAAAGGTCGTAAACGTAATCCAGCCGGTAAAACCCTACTCTCTCTTTAACGCTTTAACAAAATCGCCAAAGCGGAGAGCAGCGGACCGAGATCTTTTCGAAGAGTTAATTGCAATGGGGTGACGATGGATCCTACTCTCCACAATTTCCACAAAATTTCGCTCCATCGCAATTTCCCCAGATGTTTCCAGCATACCTACTTACAACTCTCAACCGACACAAACGTCTTTATCATCAACAAAACAATTCAAATAACGACAACCTTCCTAAACAACAATTGTCTCTAAAATAACCAAATCATATCCTCTTTCTATCTTTCACATCCATCCTGGTATCTATTTGAGATCATACAATTGCATCCCTTCTCATTCTCTAGATATATATATATATATATATATATTTAGAGGAAATCAAATTAATCAATCATATCGAACAACAAGCTGTCTCTTCTCGGAAATCTCTCATCACTCAAACACTTAGCGGATTATGTGTACTTGGGGTATATGATGCTGTTAGGTGGGAGTTAAGGAAGTGAAAAATTGATGAATTTTCCGATACGTAATTTATGGACCGTGATAAACAATTTAATAGTCGGTATTATAAAGAGATAAACAAATAAACTTAAGTAATCATGTATAGAACAATAAACTGTTTATTATCGGAAATTTCCTCTCATCTCTCAACCACCTCGCAGTTGTAAATGTATTTGGGGGAAAATGAGAGTCCGGCCGGAAGTTATGATCGTTTTACGTGGGGGGTTGGAGTACGTAATTTATAGGCTGTCATATACAACAATTCGGTACAGTTGTTATTATAAAGAGCAGTATTGTTTGTGCATTTTTATTGATTTCATAAACAAATCAAATTTATTGATCTCATTAGGTAGGCATTGAACAATATGTTAACATTGCATTTTCATCGGCGTATATTAATCTTTCTCCATTAAATTATCAATGCTAATTTCATTAATAAGAAGAATTTCTCTGCATTTATCGTAAACTAACGAACACTTACCTGCCTATTTGATTTTTCTTCTTATAAATACAAATAATTACGTACTATGATTCATTTATTGAAAAAAGGAAGGAATTAATTGAAAAAACTCATTCAAGTTGCTAACAGATTTAATATCAATTCATTTCGAACAAATTTCNTACTATAGAATGTCACCTCAAGGTAGGCCTAGTGGCGTCATCTCTTGGTTAGGCCGGAAACTTATCAATCCACCCTCGTAATTATACTCATTCTTACCTCTTCTGGAATTGCTATTTATATTGACGCAATTGTAATCGATGGTGTACAAAGAGTTATTGTACCCAAGAATTTTAAATTGCAGTGGGCTGGCAGCATTATTGTATTTTACATTTATAATCCCTTCACCATTATCACTAGCCAATGTAATTACGCCATCGGAACTGGGAAGCCATTCGTCTTTTGAGACATCTTTTTGTCTCAAAGAGAAATTCGACACCGTCAATAGTGACGATCTTCTTCTAAAGGTTATTTCTTGGCAGTCAGCTTTCACGTTGAAAGTAAACACAGTGTACCATCTGTGTAAAATACCATCATCTCCGTACTGTTAAGAAAGGTTTTAATTGAGTTGGTTTTGCAAATGATACCGAAGTAACTTTTTGGAATACAAAATATCACGTCCAGGTGTCTAAGTTATGGTAATTAATCTAAGTCAGGATCGGATTGAAACTCAAGGACAAAGTGACAAGTAAAAAAGTCAACTTACCCTATTAACTCCTGGGAAATTTTTTACTGGCTTTATATTTCTGTCTTCACACTGGCCTCGAGAGACATACTGTGAGTAAGACGATGAAATCAAAGCAACAAAAACAATTGCGAAAAGTTGCTTAAACATTTTTGCTGGCTAACTTTTAGTGTGTTGATTGCAAAGTGGAATGGTCCTATACGTATATATATATGTATTGAAAAGTTGTTGAAAAATCAAATTAATTAATCGTATCGAACAATAAGCTGGCTTTTCTAGGAAATGTGCCGCAAATATCTTATCACACAACCACTCAGCGGTTTATGTGTATACTTGAAAAAATAGAGAATGCAATCGGGCGATATGGTGCTGTTAGGTGGGAGTAAGGCAAGGGAAAAATTGAAAAATCTTGGGGTACGGTGAAAAACAGTATTTTGTGTGCGCTTTTTTGTATTTTTAAAAATAAACTTGATAAACAAATCAAATTAATTAATAAAGATGTATGTCTTAAGTATTTCCGAGTAGAAACAAGTATATACTCTTGTTTATAATTCTATTGTTTTCTTGACATTATCGCGTGATGATTATTGAATGAATGTATACTTGTACACTAGTATTTTAAACTAGCTTTATTTTGTAACTGCGCTTCTATCTATTTAACTGTATCTATAATCAAATTGTGTAAGTAAAGTGATACATAGTAATCACTTGATAATTTACGAGGTATGTTCGGTATCGCGAATTTTGAATTTCCGCGGTTTGGGCTATATTCGATTTTCGGTTTTTTTGTAGCGTTATGTTGGTACTCATGTCTGTAACTTATACAGACCAGTTCGGTCATGTTAAATGTATTAAAGTATTAGTAGTAATAAATTAATTTTAAACAAGGGGGCATTTTTTGCGAGGGCCAGTAGAAAATAATAAAAAAGTTTTGCAAACTGTACCGTGTGACATGAAAGAGCTTGTTGTAAGGGTCTCAAATATATATATCGTATCTTTTTATAATTTTAAAATAAATAGTTTT